CCCCCCGCCTCGTTGTGATGATCAAGCTTGGGAGCCGCTGTGTCTGGGCCACTGATGTCCGTGATGGAGCTGAGGATCTGAGCAGGCGGATGGGGACACCCTCGGAGCCAGCCCGGCTGCTCCCTGAGTGAAGAGCTGATTTTACTCTCCCTGTGTCAGCCCTCAGGTTTGGGTCCCCGCCGCTCCCAGCAGAGCCAGAGGAAGGAGCCCCGCAAAATCATTGCCACTGTGTCCCTCAATGAGGATGTCAAGCTGAACAAGGCCGAGAAGGCCTGGAAACCCAGCAGCAAGCGTGCCTCAGAGGAAGAGGATCCTGAGAACATCAAGACGCAGGTGGGAGCTGGGACAGGTGGGTGGTGGGAGGGCAGAGGTGTATGTGCCTGGCTCTTTCTGACCCTGCTATCCTTGCAGGAACTGCTCCGCCGTGTCCGCAGCATCCTCAACAAGCTGACACCCCAGATGTTCCAGCAGCTGATGAAGCAGGTGATGGAGTTGTCCATCGACACGGAGGAGAGGCTCAAGGGTGTCATCGACCTTGTCTTCGAGAAGGCCATCTCGGAGCCAAACTTCTCTGTTGCCTATGCTAACATGTGCCGTTGCCTTATGGGGGTGAGCAGAAGCTGGGGGTCTCCTTTCAGGCTGGTAGGGGTTTGTTTGGGGGCCTCTGCTGAGCTCAGCAGGGTGCAGGTCCTTCCATGTGGGGTGGGGAAACGGGGTCATGTGGATGGAGGACCAAGTCCAGACTCTTAGCAGGGCATCTTGAGGGTGTAGGGTGGCTTTTCCCTGGTTTGAGCAGTGCCTGGGCCTTAGCTGGCCAGCTTTTGGGGGAGACACAAAACTCATGCCTCTTGCCTGGGTTGTATCTCTCCTTGCAGCTCAAAGTGCCCACAACAGACAAGCCCACGGTTACTGTGAACTTCCGCAAGCTGCTGCTCAACCGCTGCCAGAAAGAGTTTGAGAAGGACAAGGATGACGATGAGATCTTTGAAAAGCGACAGAAAGAGATGGATGATGCCAGTGCTGTGAGTTGGGGTGGGAGGCTGCAGCTGAGGGCTGGTGTTGGGTGTCTTTGGGGCGGCTCTGGGCTCTGAACTGCCCCGCTGTGCCCTCTTTGCAGCCTGAGGAGAAGGCACGCATGAAGGACGAGCTGGAGGAGGCACGGGACAAGGCCCGACGGCGATCACTGGGCAACATCAAGTTCATTGGAGAGCTCTTCAAACTGAAGATGTTGACAGAGGCCATCATGCATGACTGTGTGGTGAAGCTGCTCAAAAACCATGATGAGGAGTCTCTTGAGTGCCTTTGCCGCCTGCTTACCACCATTGGCAAGGACTTGGACTTTGAGAAGGCCAAGGTACCCCTTGCCCTGCCCTGCCTTGCCCTGTCCTTGCCTTTGGGAGGAATGTGACTGTGATTCTGTCCCTCAATAGCCCAGGATGGACCAGTACTTCAATCAGATGGAGAAGATCATCAAAGAGAAGAAGACATCATCCCGAATCCGTTTCATGCTGCAGGATGTGATTGACCTCAGAAGGGTAAGGCGCATTGCCTGCCATTGCCCGGGGACTGCCCTCTGTCCCCTGCTTGGTCCTGTGGAGCTGCTGGGCTGTGTCCTCTGGGTGCCAGCAGTCCATGTGTCCCCAGGAGGGGAGAGGTGGGTATTTAAGCTGTGGCCAGCCCCAGAGACACCATGCTAGCCCCCAGCCTTTGGTTAGCATGGTAGTGGTAGTGGGCAAACAGTAACTGGCGGCTGTTTAATGCAGGGGGGCTCCAGAAACTGAGTCCTTTTGTGCCAAAAGCTGCCACAGCACATGGGGAACTGTGATGGCCGGGGCAGGAGAACTGGCCTGAGGCTTTGAGGGTGGGATGGCTGGGAAGGGGGAGCCTCTGCCTCCGTCCTCTAGCTAGCTCAGTGCCCTCTTCCCTCATTCCCTGCCCTCTGCAGAATAGCTGGGTGCCGCGGCGAGGAGACCAGGGCCCCAAAACCATCGACCAGATCCACAAGGAAGCAGAGATGGAGGAGCATCGGGAACACATCAAAGTGCAGCAGCTCATGTCAAAGGACAAGAGGAGAGGACCCCCCGGGCCATCCTCTAGTAGTGAGTGCCTGGGCTTGGGGGCACCTGAGGCTGTCAGGGGTGGGTTGCTCCCACTGGGCACTGCTTGAGGCTGGACTGTGCCTTATGTCTGTCCCCCTTGTGCCCAGGTGGACGTGGGAGCCTGGTCGCAGACGATGGCTGGAACACTGTGCCCATCAGCAAGGGCAACCGGCCTATCGACACCAGCCGGCTAACGAAGATCACCAAGGTGAGGCTGGGGGTGCACGGTAGGCAGCTGGCCAACTGCCTGGCCCAGATCCTGCCTTGGTGTGGGATTCAGAGCTGACTCTGTCTCTCCACCTGCAGCCTGGATCCATTGACTCCAACAACCAGCTCTTTGCGCCGGGCGGGCGGCTGAGCTGGGGCAAAGGCAGCAGCGGAGGGTCTGGTGCGAAGCCTGCAGATTCAGGTAGGCAGCATGGGGTGGGAGGGGGGATCCTTCCCCTGGCGGTTCCTGTACCGGGGAGGTGCCGAACTCTGAGACTCCCCTCTTTTCACACCCAGCATCTGATTCAGGGCGACCAGCCACGAGCACCTTGAACCGCTTCTCAGCACTCCAGCAGTCAACCCCTGCTGAGAACCTGGAGTCCCGCCGCGTGGTGCAGAGGTGAGGGGCCAGCCTTGCCTTGGTCTGTGGGCGTGTTGGTCTGCAGCCCAGGGAGGACCCCCCCGAATCGGGCAGTGGTTTGCCTACGTATTGATTGACATATGGTGCTTGGGCTGGAATAATCCCCTGTGGCAGGATGGGCCCTTTGCGGGGGGACTTGGAGTTGGTGATGAGTCCTTGCAGCAAAGAAGGCTGACCCCACCCTGAGCTTCCTCTCTGCTGTTCGGCACCTGGGGGACCACACCTGGGTGCTGGGTCCAGTGTTGGGGATACCAGGACTCGATGGACATTGATGGGCTGGAAGGAGTCTGGTGGAGGCTGGAGCACAAGGTCCCCAAGGAGAGTTGGAGTTGGGTTTGTTCAGGGGAAGATGAAAACAAAGGGGGATCTCAGCACAGTCTGCCACAGGGGGAAGGTGTGGGCAGGCTGGGGCCAGGCTCTGGTTAGTCGTGCCAAGGGACAGAACAAAAGGCAAAGGACTTGAGTTGGAACAGGGGAGAAATAGGGAAGAGTGTTTTCCCCTGAGAGTGGTTAAGTGCTAGAATAGGCCCTGGAAAGGGCTGGGATTGGAGTGGGACAGCCTTGCCTTGCAGAGCTCTGCAGTCTGGGGTCAGGGAGGGTGGTGATGGGCTCTTCACACTGTGTCTGTCCTCCTTCCACCCAGGAGCAGCTCCAGCCGCGACAGGTCAGAGAAGGCTGGGGACAGAGGGGACCGGGAGTCGCGTTCGGAGAAGGGCAGCGACCGCCTGGAGCGTCCTGACCGGGGGGAGCGGGCAGACAGGAACAGGTCTGCCCTCACCAAGAGGAGCTTCAGCAAAGAGACAGAGGACAGGAGCCGAGAACGGGAGAAGCAGGGCGGCCCCGAGGCTGTGCGCAAGGCTGCTAGCATGACAGAGGAACGGGACAGGAGCCGAGACACCAGTGAGCTGGGGAGGAGCGGTGTCCTGAGGGTCTGGCTGTGGCCTGGGGCTTTGCCTGTCTCAGGCAGTGCCTGATCCTTCCTCTCCTCACAGTTAAGCAAGAGCCAGCACCTCCTGCAGCATCCCCCAAGCCTGCACTGTCAGAAGAGGAGCTTGAGAAGAAATCCAAGGCGATCATAGAGGAATACCTGCACATCAATGACATGAAGGTGAGAGGAGGGGGTGGCCAGGCACAGCACCATATGGCCCCTGGAACATGCCATCCGCTTCCCTGGGTGGTAGCGCTGTTGGGCAGGGTGCTGGTGGTGCCTGGATGAGGAAGGGGGGAGGCGGGAGTAGCTGTGGGGCAGTACTGACCCCCCTTTTCCCTGCAGGAGGCCCTGCAGTGCGTGCAGGAGCTGGGCAGCCCTTCCTCGCTCCACATCTTCGTGCAGAATGGCATTGAGTCCACTCTGGAGAGGAGTACCATCTCCCGCGAGCACATGGGGGTCCTGCTGTGCCAGCTGGTGAAGGCAGGCACACTCTCCAAGGAACAGTACTACAAAGGGTGAGGGGCTGGGGCAGCATGGCCCCGAGCTGGTATTTGTCCTGTTTTGAATTCAGCCCTGCCTTGAGCAGGGCTCATCACAGAGACCTCCCGAGGTCCCTCCCAGCCAAGAGCACAGGGGCTGCTAGATCCCAATGGCCCCCCTCTGCCCTGCAGGCTGCGGGAGATCCTGGAGGCCGCAGAAGACATGGAGATTGACATCCCGCACATCTGGCTGTACCTGGCCGAGCTCATCACCCCCATCCTGCAAGAGGAAGGCATACCCATGGAGGAGCTGTTCAGGTGAGGGCCGTGCCCTTCTGCAGGGCTGCCACAGGGTCCTAGGGGGGCTCTGGGGGGCAGGTAGTTCAACCAGGTCTCTTGTGCCCCGCAGGGAGATAACAAAGCCCCTGGTGCCCATTGGGAAGGCCACCACGCTGCTGGTCGAGGTGCTGGGCTTGTTGTGCAAGGGCATGGTAAGTGCATGGGGCTCACGTAGCTGCTGGCTGCTGCCTCAAGGACTGGCAGCTGGCGCGGGGGTGCAGGTTGGCATGAGGGGATTGAACCCCTCTGCCACCAGTGGGGATGGCAGGGGGCATCCCTTGCCCTGTCTGGGTCATGGGGGTGGCATGGCCAAGCCGCAGTATCTCCCTCCCTGGAGATGGAGGGCATGGGGTGCCATGCCAACTGTCTGTCTGTCCTGCAGAGCCAGAAGACCGCAGGCAAGCTGTGGCGGGATGGGGGCCTGAGCTGGAAGGAATTCCTGCCTGAGGACCAGGATGTCAACAAATTTGTCACAGAGCAGGTGGGAGCTCAGCAGCGGCGAGGGGCAGAGATGGGCTATGGGGGGACCCTGGAGGTCCAGCTGCCAGGAGCATGGTGTTCCCCTGTGCTGCCTTTAACAGCGTGTCTCTGCCCACTCCCCCAGAAATTGGAGTACACAATGGGGGACAGCTCGGACACGCCGAGCCGCAAGGAGCTGACCTCAGAGGAGCTGTGCAAGCAAATGGACAAACTGCTGAAGGAGAACCCGAACAACCAAAGAATACATGACTGGATTGAGGTGAGAGTGTGGGTGCAGCGCCCATGGGTCTGGGGGCTCCCTCCTGGCTCCGTCCCCACCTCACAGCCCCTCTACCCTCCCTCCACCAGGCCAACCTGAGCGAGCAGCAGGTCTCGTCCAACACATTTATCAGGGCCCTGATGACATCCGTATGCCACTCAGCCATTGTCTGTGAGTACCAGGGTGAGGGGTGTGTGTGGGGTGTCCCTGCCCATGCCATCCCTCTCACACACCCCGTCTCCCACAGTCGAGAACCCCTACCGTGTGAACACCCTGGTCATCCACAACCAAGCCAAGCTGCTGCAGAAGTACCTGCGGGATGAGCAGAAGGAGCTCCAGGCGCTCTACGCCCTGCAAGCCTTGGTGGTGAAGCTGGACCAGCCTCCCAGTGAGTGTCGTGGGATGGGTGGACTGAGGGAGGGGGGTGGCAGGCATGTCCCTACCCCAGCAGGGTGGCTGGGGAATGGCAGGGTCCTCCCTTTGTCGCCCCCTCCAGACCTGCTACGGATGTTCTTTGATGCCCTCTACGATGAGGACGTCATCAAGGAGGAGGCTTTCTACAAGTGGGAATCCAGCAAGGACCCAGCCGAGCAGCAGGGCAAAGGGGTGGCTCTCAAATCAGTGACGGCCTTTTTCACCTGGCTCCGGGAAGCTGAGGACGAGTCAGACAACAACTGAGCATCTGTGAGGAGGAAGAGGAGGAGGAGGAGGGGGAAGGGGGAAGAGAGAGCGGGGCACCCCAGGGAGTGACTCCATCCCCTCCCATCCCTGGGCCCCCTGGACTTGCTGATGCTGGGGCCGAGGGACCTGCTCTGCCCTCCTGCAGCCCCCCCCTCTCTTTTCAGTTATCCTCCTCTCCCTCCCCCCATCCCGGTTCTGTTTGTGAGGCCTGTACTAGTTTGTCACTATGATAATAAATGGATGCTGGTGGAGGCGGCTGTTGCCGTGGGTCCCCTCGGGGCCCTTCCTCTCCCCCCTCCCAGCACAGGCACACCAGGTCTCTGGGAGTGGGGCAGAGCACCCCCAGACTCATGTCGTGAGGAGGGGGGACAGGATGGGGACATAATCTCTCCCCTCCTCTCTTCCCTCCTCTTTCTCCTCCCCACTTCTTGCTGAAATATAGAGAGATTATATATATATATAAACTTATTAAATTTGGTTTGGGGACAGGAGCGTGATTTCTCCCCCTCCCCTGTCCTCTCTCTATTCCTCCATCACTGCCTGGACCCCCCCTCTATGGTTTTTTATTTTAAATATATAAATCATTCCCCCCCAGCTCTTGCTCTGACACCTGGGGAGGGTGCCGGGGAGGAGGGGGGGTGACCCCTTCTCTCTGGGCCAGGCTGAGTCCCCTCCCACCCCCTCAAAGCCAGGCCACAATTGGGCAAGCAACGGGGCGGCCCCCCATCCGTGTCCCCTGTATTTATAGAGCGCCGGATGTGACGAGCCGCACGTGTAATTATTAAAACAAGGATTCAATTACTGGTCACGTGAATTTGTAAATAATTTTTTTTTGCTTTTTTTTTTCTTTATGGAGTATTTAATTGAAGATTTAAAGGCATCTTTTCACCTTAAAACTGGAAATAAAAGAACATTGCTAAATAACGCCCCGTGTGCCGCTGTTGCCGCCCCCCATCCCATGTCCCTTGCACCCAGGCTGGCGTGGGGGTGCCAGCCTAGAGCCCAGGCAGGGGCCAGTCTCCCCTGGCACCCCGAGGCAGACAGTAGGTACCCCCCCACCCTGGGGCTGAGAGGGTGGCAAGGGGGTTGGATGTGCCTGGAGCCAGGCCCCCTGGGACCCCTCCTCCTTGCCAGTTCTGCCTGGCACAGGGCCTCCCCGTGGAGTGGGCAGCCCTGCCAGCACCCTGGCTGCGGAGCAGAGCCCCGGCTTCCCCAAACTTCCCTTTTTCTGCAGGCACAGGGGGGCAGGGCCTGTGTGGTCTGCTTGGGCTCTGCCCCGGGGCAGGAGAGGGCAGCGATGAGCTGGGTTCCCCCTAAAATCTTCTCCCTTGGGTGGGGGGGAGCATTGTTTTGCAGGTGGGGTGGAGATGGGGCAAGCTTGGGCTGCCCCTAGCCCTGCTGGGGACAGAGGTGAGGGTGGGCTGCCCCCCTCCCCCCCCCCGCCCCATTTGGGGCCAAGCTGTTCTTTGGTGCGCGTGGCTACCTCTTGCTGAGTCACCCTGGCCATGGACCAGAGGGTACAGAATAATTAACCAGAGGCTGTTCCCCAGATTAGAGGCAGATCTGTCTGAGCTGCAACCCTGGCAGCCCTGATGCGGGGAAGCAGTTGGCAAGGAAAGGCCGGCAGGTCCTGGGGGGGTGTTACTGGCCAGGAGCTCCCCCTGCCTGGGAGCGATGGAGTAAAGAGGGAGGCCCTGGGGCTCCACTGTACCCTGCTTACCAGGGGGAAGGGTGGTGCCCTGGCAGTGCCCTCCCGTGCCCCTTGGTGCCAGGGAAAATGTACCGCAGCACTAAATGTCATCAGTAGGTTTCAGGATGAACAGGCATCTTTGGCTGCAGGCTAGCCCCTCAGCCAGGCACCAGTGCTGGCCTGGATCTCCTAGGGGGGAGGTTGCTGTGGTGCTGTCAGAGGTGGTGCCTAAAGCCTGCAACCCCTGCCCCAAACCTAGCCCTGGAGAGGTGGGACCCCAGCCCCTCGTGGCTGTGTGCTCTCTCTCGCCCCCCAGCCCCTCGGTGTGTGTGGGGGGGCCGGCAGGGCCAGAGCTCCCCTTTCGTGGGCAGGCCTGGGGCTGAGGGTCCCGGTCCCTGACCCTCGCCCCCCGGGGCTCGCTGGGCGCTAGGGCGCCCCCGGGGCCAGCGCTGTCCGCGGTGCTGGCGCGGCGCTCTCCGCGGTGCCCGGCCTTCCTCCCCCTCCTCCTCCTCCTCAGCCCCCTCCTCTTCCTTCGTCCATCCTCCTCCTCGGCCCCCCCTTCTCCCCCTTCCTCCGTCCCCCTCTTCCTCTTCCTTCAGCCCACCTCTTCCTTCATCCTCCCCGGCTGTCTCCTCTTCTCCTCTCTCCTCATCTCCCCTTCCTCCTCTTCCTCCCAGCCTCCCTCTCCCCCATCCTCCCCTTCCTTCTTCATCCCCCTCTTCCCCAGCCTTCCTCCCGCCCTTCCTCCTCCTCTCC